CCTGAGTCCCCTCAGGGAAAAGGGCGGCATATAAATTTCCAATAAAATCCTAAAAATCCTAAAAAAACCTTTTACCTGTTAGGTTGTTAAACCAGTTATGATTATTTGGGATAACATGGCTTCTCTGTCTGGTGAACTGATAGATATCTCATTTATATTAGGTATATTAAGGTATTATACCCTTGACTTCTCCTGAAGATAGTCTGGTTCATTGAAAATAAGGTGGCTAGGGTTCTGCTTGGAACTGCGGGTTGAAAAGAAGACTATGCAAGACTCACTTGGGCTCGTTCTTGTAATGAGGAAGAGATAAGGCACTTAGATTTCCCCAATTCCTTCTTCATAATACACTAATAGCAATTGTAACATAGGTGAGAAACACACTCTATTAAAATAAGTGAAGAAGTAACCCCACCAACTCCTACCAACTGAGCAGAATATGAGGTAGGCAGTTTTTCTAAGATATTGGGTACTTCTTGGCTTTGGATCACCTTCAGCATGTTGGGATTTAGCATCAGCAGATGCAACAATAGATTTATGCTTGCAAAGCTATCCACAACTCTTAACAGGAACTTCCAAAGCAAATTCATCCCCTTTGTGCAATAAGGTGAGAGGCAGAGATTTCACTTATAACAATCAGCATCTGTTCAATTTAAAGGCTGAAAGCAAAGAGTTAGTTGAGATATGGAAAGACCAGAATCTGCAAAGGATGCAAATGGAAAGCCACATCTTCATGCTACAGAGAGCAATCAATTATTCAGTGTAGTTGTATTCCAGTTTGCAATAAATATTCTAATTGAGTTATGCCGTGTTGTGTCTCTGAAATATTTCAGCCAGTCTGAACATTGTAGCTAAGTTAAGACATGCAAAGCCTAACATCAACCCTAAAATTACATTCTCTGGAGAACTGTCAATCTTAGTTAGGGTTGCTTTGTTTTTATGTAATTTGTGTAGTTAGAAATTGTCTTAAATAGTAAAACAGCCTTCCCATTCTGAAAAGGTGGCTTTTGTTCCTACAGATTTCCTCTTTTTTCTACTACTCAATTGTCTCTCCAATGCTGTTTCAGAATTCTCAAATCCCCCAGAACAGATTTAAAGGGTGGACAGAAAAGTTGTAGAAGAAAAGGGGAATCAGTTAAAAAACCTTCCTCCCTTTTTTGTTTGTGAAAGTTTCTGTTGGATCACAGAGCTGTCTCCGAAGTGGGGCATGGGAGGAGTCACAGCTGGGTATTGTCACGGCCCATCTGCTGCAGTGGTTCCTGCTTGCCCACCAGAGAGGAGGGACAAGCGATGCAGAATTCAAGGTCAGGTACGCCTGTCCCTCCGCTGGTGGACGTCCCCAGCCCTGTCCAAGGGCTCCCTGTTCAGGGAGCCGGACAGACTTGTGTTAATGACAGATGCAAGCCTGTTCGGTTGGGGGGCACACCTGGAGTCCCAGCTGGCCCAGGGGCGGTTGACACAGACTGACCTTCGCAAGAGCATCAACTGGCTGGAGCTCAGGGCGATCCACCTGGCCCTACAACGATTCAAGACGTTAGTAGTGGGGAAACACATTGTAGTCCTCACGGACAATGTGGCGGCCAAGGCACATGTGAACAAACAGGGAAGACCTATTCCAGGACACTGCGCGACGAGGCAGTGAGATTGGGAAACTGGGCGGAACAGAACCTCCTATCAATCCGAGCGGAGCACATGTCCGGAGTGGAGAATCACCAGGCGGACTGGCTCAGCAGAGAGACGGTAGACCACGGAGAGTGGCAACTTCATCCCAGCATCTTCAGCTAAATCTGCCAGAGGTTTGGAAGACCATCAGTGGATCTCTTCGCCTCCCTGATGAACGCCCAGCTCTTGAGGTTCATATCGCAGTTCCAGACACAGGAAGTGATGGACAACGACTCCCTGCGATGCCCGTGGCCGTCAGGTCTTCTTTACGCTTTCCCCCCCTCCCACTCCTACCTGGGGTGCTCAGGAAGCTGGTATTAGAGAGGGCAGAGATGATTCTGGTGGCTCCATATTGGCCCAGAAGCCTTTGGTTCGCAGATCTAATAGAGCTGTCTATCGCCTCCCCCATTGGAGGATCCCTCAGGGGCAGTAACCCTTACCCAGGGGAGTCTGCTTCACTCAGACCCAGACTGGCTCCAATTGACCGTCTGGAGATTGAGCGGACACAGTTAAAAGAGAGGCCCAGATTTCCACCAAGGTCAGAGGAACCATAGAGGCGGCCAGGAGGAGATCCACCACCCGCATCTATGACGCGACCTGGGTCTCCTTCGCGGCCTGGTGCCGTTCGGATCAGGTAGATCCAACAGCGGCCACGGTTTCGCAGGCCCCTAGCACCCTCAGAAGGCAGGTCTCAGCCCTGGCCACCATCCTGGGGGGAGTGGGCACACAATCATTGTCCCAACTTCCCATCATCAAATGGTTCCTCAGGGATGCAACCAACTTCAGACTCCCAGTGATTCACCATTTCCCCTCGTGGGACCTGCCTACAGTGCTCCAGGCTCTCCTGGAAGCACCCTTCGAGCCTCTAAGGGAGGTGAGTCTTCAGCTGCTCACACTCAAGGTGGTCTTCCTCGTGGCTATTACCTCAGCCAGGTGTCAACCAGGGCGGATGTCTGCATATTCCACAGTAACAGGGTGGTCCTGAGACTCGACCCGGCTTTCATGCCAAAAATTAATTCTCTCTTTCATAAGGCTCAGGAGATTATTCTCCTGAATTTTTGTCCAGCTCCCTCCAGCGGAAGGGAGAGGTCCTGGCCCCCGCCTGGATGTCAGGAGGGCGCTGCGCATCTACCTGAAGCGCACGTCGCCCATCAGGCGGTCATAGGCTCTTACCACCCGGTAATCAAGGGAGCAAAAGTCTCCCCAGCCACCATCAGTAGATGGATCGGGCTAGCCATCTCCAAGGCCTACGAGGCACGGGGATTGCAGGTGCCTGAGGGCATCACCGCCCACTCCACTAGGAGTGCAGCTACGCCCCCATCGAAGACATTTGCAGGGCGGCAGCATGGGCTTCGCCCTCGCCATTCATCAGACATTATAGACTGGACGCCTTTGCCTCTGTGGAGGAAGGTCCTCCAGAGAGTGCTGAATACTCGGGGGGACTCAGGCCCCATGGACCCTCCCAGGGACACCTAGCTTTGGTAGGTCCCAGC